CTTCAGCTGCAAATCACCGATACGCTAGTGTGTTTGACACATTCTTCGTCAGGTTGCCTTGCCTGTTTAGAATACCCTGAGTTTTTTTTCCTTCTCTGGAAATTATCTCCATCTGTAGTAGTATTTTGGGAGTCCTTCATACGGTTCTCAGATCAACTTTGGTCTGAACACGGGTATTTTGGGAGTCCTTTATGCGGTTCTCAGATCAACTTTTGTCTGAACACGGGTATTTTGGGTTCATCACAAGATATGTCAGGTCAAGTGCCTAGTCCTGGTCGACACGGTTGTGGGCTCATTCCTGCTGTTGCCATTTGGACTACTTTTTTCATACGAGGCTGTAGCTTTCTTTATGCGCCCTGCACTAAAAAAGAACTATGCCTAGACCTTCTAGATTTATCTACCGTTCTCGGGCAAAGTTGGTGAGGCTTGATGCTTCAAAATCTGTCGTCTTATGTAATTTGGCATGTCATTGCAGAAACAGCTTGGTGCTCTTAATTATAACCATTGAAAATGGTCAGCGGGAGGCCGAATGGTGAACTGGATGCATGGTTTAGGAGCCTTATGGTGACCTCTAGCAGCGAGAAGGGGCAGGCTGGAAGTGGTGGTCCAGTGCCAACATTATCTGGATGGAAGGACCTTCCGATGGAGCTCCTGGTGAGGATAATATCGACTGTTGGAGATGATAGGATGGTCATTGTGGCATCTGGTGTTTGCACAGGCTGGCGTGACGCGCTGGGATGGGGGGTCACTAATCTTTCCCTTACATGGTGAGCAAGTTTCTTTCCTTCACTGCACCTCTTTAGTCAATTTGGCCGAGTGTTATGACTTTGCCATAATGATCGAAAAGGCTGTGCACTAGTTGTTGGATTCCTCAAAAATATGATGATTTTGCAATATTCCTTCTGAATCCTTCCCAATATGTTGTACTCAGTTCCCTGCAGATCATTTTTCTTATTATCCAATCATTTCTTCTGTAAATGAAAATCACCTATAAGGCTATAACCCCGTGTGCTGAAATGGTCCCATTTTGCACTGATGATCTCGTCCTTCCTACATGGTGGCTGCGACCAATTAGCCAAGTTAGCAATGTGTTTCAGGGGAAGTGTTAAGGGAATTCGTTTGTTTTGTTTACCATGTTGTGTTGTACATTGCTCTTTCAGTTAAAGAGAGAACTCCCCACCTTATCCGTTATTTTTAAATTATTTTTACCTCTGGAAGCAACCTGAATATTTTCAGTTCTATTATATGAGTTTAGAATAGGCTCATCTGATATTGCTTTAGGTCTATGTAATGTAACTTGCCATTGTGTACGCTATGGATATCCATATGCTTGTCTCATAAGAAACTTCGAAACGCAACTAGACCTGCTCATTGACTTTCCATTTGCTTTCCTTAAAAGAAAACCTTATGGTCTGCGGTCCTTGATTTGTCTAAGTTGCCAAGCCACAAAGTTGGTCTCCTTGATTTAAGTAATAATATGTGGTGAGTGGAGAAAACTAAGTCAATGAATGGCTTCATCTATCACCATAGCTTTAGCATGCACATAGATACATCTATACCAAATTACATGAAGAACTTTTAGTTGTCTTTAAACAAAATCGCTGCATCCATTACTTACCTGGTGGCCCAATGCAATGGATTGAAATCAAGTTTACCCCTGGATGATTTATCGTAGTTAATACTATTTCCATCCTACTTTTGGGTCTGAGGATGACATATTTCTTCCTGCTTTTTCCTAACAGCCAACCCCTCTGCTTGTGCCGAATTATATTTGGTTATATGCATAGCTTTTAAACAATGCACTGGCTAAGCTGAAAATTATATCACTTGCAGGTGCAAACAGAGCATGAATAATTTAATGATATCTCTTGCCCACAAGTTTACAAAGTTGCAAGTTCTCACTCTTCGGCAAAACAAACCTCAGCTTGAAGACAGTGCAGTAGAGGCTGTTGCCAACTACTGTCATGATCTACGTGAGTTAGACCTCAGTAGAAGCTTCGGACTTAGTGACCGCTCCTTGTATGCATTGGCCCATGGGTGCCCACGGCTTACAAGACTGAACATTAGTGGATGTTCCAATTTCAGTGATACTGCCTTGATTTACCTTACTTGCCGCTGTAAAAACCTGAAGTGCCTGAACTTGTGTGGATGTGTGAAGGCTGCTACTGACAGAGCTTTGCAGGTACTTCTCGTCATATCAAGTTTTGCTAAACATGTTTCTAGTATGAACATCTACTTAGTTTCTATAATTATGATGCAGGCTATTTCTCAGAACTGTGGGCAGCTGCAATCTTTGAACCTAGGCTGGTGTGATGATGTTACAGATAAGGGAGTGACCAGCTTAGCGTCAGGATGTCCTGATCTCAGAGCTGTAGACTTGTGTGGTTGTGTTCTTATAACAGGTATTTGATCTGATTCTTTACCAACTTAGTTTTCTTTTGTGCTTGTTGGACCGCAGTCAGTTAAGTTTATATGGCACTGAAACCTAGCACATCCTATCTTCAACTTGCCCCCATGTTTGTTACTTCAGTCATTTGATAGGTAGAGTATGCCTTTTGTTTCGATCACAGTGCTCCATTAGACTACTATATCAAGCCATCATATGTGCCCAGCACATTCTTTCTGAAAGATCAGCCCTGACTAATGAGATGCAGTTTTATCTGAAGAAATCTGATGGGGTGCGTGGGGTGTCCACATACAGTGTATTACAATCATTACACCTGCACATATGCAAATATAATAGAGCGAGCATATCAATATCAGCATGCTTGCTTATAGCCTCGGTGGTAACTGAGCATATCAATACAGCGTGCTTGCTTATAGCCTCGGTGGTAACTGGGGCAGTTGATCACTGTATACAAGAGTAAACTTGTTTGTTCTTCACTAGATATCTTGTTTGTTCTTCACTAGATATCAGTGTTTGCTGTCATTATTTCAGACTCTTAGACTGAGCACCACAAGGGTCTGTTCTTGTAGCTTATAGTGAGCTTTGAGCACCATAGTCCTCATCTTTTCAACTCTTCATTGCAGATGAGAGTGTGGTTGCTCTTGCCAACGGATGTCCGCACCTGCGCTCGTTGGGCCTCTACTACTGCCAGAACATCACGGACCGTGCCATGTACTCCCTCGCAAACAGCCGCGTGAAGAGCAAGCATGGGAGGTGGGATGCAGTGAAAGACGGGCTCGCGAACCTCAATATCAGCCAGTGCACCGCCCTGACGCCCCCAGCGGTGCAGGCCGTCTGCGACTCCTTCCCGGCACTGCACACCTGCTCCGAGAGGCACTCCCTCATCATCAGTGGCTGCCTCAGCCTCACGTCAGTCCACTGCGCCTGCGCCCTCCACCCACACCGTGCCGGGAGCGCGCTGATGGCCAACCATGCGTACTAAGCTTGTTGGTGGCTTGGCGCTGGTGGTTCTCGTGAATGGGGGCGTTTGCCTGGTGGTGGTGGCGTCCTCCAGGTGTAGAGGAAGCTCCCTGTGTACATAAACTCGAGACTTGGTGGTGTAATAAGACACTGCTGTGGTAGGACTTTGTGTGATAATCATGGGGTGGCGAATTTCTGGAGCGTGGCATGTGTACTCCAGTGCTACCTGGACATTGACTAGAAATGTTGTGGTATTTGGTATCTAGTGGACTTCCGTGTAATATGTATTTATTTCATGGACTTTGTAGGGTTGCAGTCAGATCTGTCTCCAACTGGTGACCTATTGCGGAACTCAAACCCAAAATGGTCTTTAATACAATATCTATAGTCTCTAACAGAGTATCTATATGGAAGATCTATTTTATGGCTAGAAGAGGCATAACCTAAATTTAAGTATCCTTCTTCTGAAGATCCATTTGCAGAAAAGATTACCTTTTGGGTCTTCTCGTTCGAGAAGATAAAAAATAGGTATTGAACTCTTTGGTCATGTTTGTTTCTCTTATAATCCGTATTTTTCAGTTTTTTTTTTTTCAGTTGGAATAGTGTTTTTCTCTCACAACAAATCAGCCGGAATAATGTTTCGGTTTGTTTTTTCAGCGAAGCGAACTGTGGCCTTTGCCTGTAGCGCTACCTAAAGACGAATAAGTCTTCTATTTTGGGTTGCAGTTGTTGGAGACAGTCTAATCTTAATGGCAAATGCAGGGCTCTGTTGGAATTTTTGCAAAGGGAAAAATACTAGGGGAATTGGAGTGTTACCTTAGAAACTCACTTCGACAGGCCCTATAATGGAGGAAATTGGAAAACCCACCCCATTAATTACTTGGGTTTTGTGTTTGTCCCTTGATGAATTTTGTTGCAAATGTAAAAACATGTAACACACCTGTGTGGTTTTGTTGCAAAACCATCCCCGTACACACATGCTTAACCAATTTAACGCACTTTCATCAATCTGGAACTACCAACATAACATATCTATCTATATATCTTATAAAAAATAAATTTGGCTGGTTTTCTATCTCAACATGCAAACTATTCATGTCATTCCCACATCATTCCCTCATTAGTGTTTATGGCATTCTCACCAAATGACATATTGTCCTCCATTAACTTTCTTTCTTTTCATACAAAGCTTTATTTATTGACCATTAGTTAAACTTGCAGGTCTCACAAAACTATATTGACCATTTATTTATTTTATTTTTTATTATATTGTTTATAGTTATAGGCTTATGACTATGAGAGAATTATCTATTTGGCACTAAAACTAAATTAGTCTTTCATATGTAGCACTAAAAATTTTAAACTTTCTTATCTAGCATCGAGTTGAAATTTTCTTCTCTAAATAGCACCGCCGTCCATTTGGGACAAAATTTTGTTAGTTGACTGTATTAACCGTGGCACTTTTCTTTTAGAAGGACCAAAATGCCCTTCTGCTTATCACGTAGCTCGTCTCCTCTCCGACCACATGCGCGCACAGTCCTAAACTCGCTAGTAGCAAGGCAGCCAGCCAGCTGAGCTCCCGGTCCCAGTCCAGCACCGCAGCAGGACAGCAGGTCGTCGGTCTCGTCTCGCCATGTGCAAGGAGAAGCACCACCGCGACTGGATCCTCCACCGCTGCTGCGGCGCCATCGCCGCCTGCATCCTCACGCTCTTCGCCGTGGTCGGCTTCATCGTGCTCGTCATCTACCTGGCGCTGCACCCCTCCAAGCCGTCCTTCTACCTCCAGGATGTGCAGATCTGGTCCATCGACCCGGCGCTCTCCCTCGACATCCAGGTACGCACAACGTGTTAGCTAGCTAGTCTGATGCATGCATTTGGCCACCCCCGGCCGATTTTGTGACGACCAGAGGACGAACTAACGCACGGTACCTGCCGGGCTGCCGGCCGGCACCACGACGACGACGCAGGTGACGATCGCGTCGCGGAACCCGAACGACCGTGTGGGCGTGTACTACAAGACGCTGGACGTGTTCACGACGAGCCGGTGCCGGTGCCGGTGCCGGTGTCGATGCCGTCGATCTACCAGGGCCACAAGGACGTGTCGGTGTGGTCCCCCGTGATGTCGGGCGACGCCGTGCCCGTGGCGCAGTACGTGGCGGACGCCATGAAGCAGGACATCGCGGCGGGCTACGTGCTGCTCCACGTCAAGGTGGAGGGCCGCGTCAAGTGGAAGGTCGGCAGCTGGGTCTCCGGCGGCTACCACCTCTTCGTCGCCTGCCTCGCGCTGCAAAGAAGGGCATTCATGTTATTTTACCAGCCACTTACGCCGTTATTAGCCTAAATGGACGACAGTGCTATCTAGGGAAGAAAATTTCAACTTTGATGCCAAATAAGAAAGTTCGAATTTTTTAGTGATAAATGCGGAAGACTGATTTGTTTTGGTGCCAAATATATAATTCTTCCTATGACTATTGGATAATATATTTGTTATTACAAATCTAATAGTATCAATTTTTTGTTATAATAATTAAAAATTGATGTTCAAATATTATAAAGTTTGACTATTGACGTATCTGAAATGCCTTATAAGTTAGATCGGAGGGAGTAAGGAGTGAAAAAGTTGTGATACATACAAAATGAAAAGGAGGAGGATAGAGATAGAGATATATTAAAAAGAGAGAGAGAGAGAGAGAGAGAGATTGAAGAACTAGAAAGATACATTGAAATGAGAATAACAAGTAATTTGAGATAACTATAAAAAGCTGGAATACTATTGTTACGGAACGTATAGGGAGTATGAATTATGAATCTACGCGAGGTTAACAGCTGTGTAGTAGTAGTTGCCATAGCCCATAGCCCAGAGGCGTCGTATGCGAGGGCGGGCCGGATTATGGCGGCGCGGGGGCCCGAAGATCCAGCACTGCAGGCGCACCTGGTGGGCCAGGAAAATCGCACGGTTGCACGTGGACACGGGCCTTGCAATCACACACGTCCAGGTCCGCAGTCGCACTCTACCGCGCTCCTGGCCTTGCAATCACACACGGGCACACTGCGCACGTCCCACGCGCGGCCGGAGCCCGGAGCAGCTCGGATCTCTGCTGTGCGAGTTCGGCGCTGGCCGTCTCGTCCTGTGCGGCCGTGCGTGCGGTCTGGCATGCCCAGCTGCCCGATCGACGCTTCGCGGCACGACGAGAGGTCGGCGGCGCGCCCTCGTGCGCCACTCTGCCTCGCCCCATCACGTCTCGTAGTTCGCACGCGGCACGCACCAGACATGTCTCATTTCCTCCTCCTTGCAGTCTCCCCGATCACCCATCCTACGGTCGCCGCTACTCGATCGCGCTGACGCGCGGCCGCTTGGTGGCAACTCGCAAGGATTGCGCATCGGCACGACGGCACCAGTAGTCCTGTTTGGTGGCTCACCTACTTCCACAAAAAGCGACCCCGTGAGTGACGACCAATGTATAGTCTCTCTCGGATCGATCCCGCAGTGATTGGGCATTCCGGATAAGACCACCGGACCAATATGCCGCGTGCCAACAAAAAGTCAACAATCAGCACTCACCACAGCAGCGCCAGCAACCCCGTTCCGGTAATCAACAAATCATTATCCCCTATTCTCTCTCTCTCTGTCTTTTTTTTTTTGAAAGTAAGCCCTATTCCCTTTTGACCCTAAAACACGCATAATGCTACACGTATACTATTCTAGTCAGTACATTTACTCGGTCCACGGGGGTGGAGTAGAGTAGGTTCTCACCAAACCACGCACTTTCACAGCGGAATAGTTGGCTCTCGGCTGTCGCTTGAACGCGCGAATTTCGTCTACAAATCCCACCGTTTCCCTGCCAAATCGCCTAAATTCGGTGCGTTACGGGGAGCAAAATTTTGGTCGGGATGGGTAGGGTAGGTTGGCCAGGCTAGGGCTTCTTGCCGCGTCACGCCCGGCGTGGGGGGCCTCCTTTGTTATACCCGTCCCCAACAACCCACGCGCGGCGCCCACCGTTTCTGCCCGCGTCCTCTCCTCTTCTTCTTCGCCTGTCCTGCTCTGCGCTCTCACCCTCCGCAGGCAGTTTACTCGCTCGCTCGCCGCCGCGCGCTGGGCCTTCACCCTTCCGCCGACTCCGCATATTGGACTGCCGTTCGCTGCTTGGCCGTCGGCGGCCCACGCACCGCCCGATCCTCGCAGGTAAGGGTCTCTCGTTTGCGACATCGTTTTGCTCCTTTATTTCCCTTTCCGGGGCCCTCGATCGTTCCGTTGAGCGGTGGCAGTAGACCGCACGATCGCGCCGTTAGTGGAGAGATGCTCAGGGATAGCGTGTGTTGCAGCTGCTCCGACTCCGACGGAGAAGGGGCAATTAAATTAGGAGCGCTATGTTGGTGGAAACGGAGGAAGGAAATCGCCGCGTCTTTGCTAGTTGAGGGGGAGAATCGCAGGGTTTGATGTTAGCGGAGAATCGTAGGGTTTCATCGGAGTTAACTCCCGAAGATCCAGCTTCGCAAAATCATCTGTTGAGGCCCAATTTCGTCGTAGTTCGTGGGAGATTTTTCCTCCTCCTCCTCCTCCTCCTCCTCCGATTTCTGTAGCTGTTTTAATGCTTATTTTTATACCACAACGTATAATATTGGTGGAGAATACAAGTATGTTGGTTCTTACTGGTCTAACTTCCACATATTTGTTTTTATTTATCCATTAATTACTCGGGACTTCACAGCTGGATTCCATCTGCAATGTTACCTTAGCATGTAGTCTAGGTATGAATACACATGCTCAGTAATAAGACTAAGATGTCTGCCTACTTTAAGCCTTTAGGTATACTTCCCACTCGATTTGGTTTTGGTTCCAAGTGCACCAAGTTAGTCAACGTTGCAGGTCTGGGGGTTAAGGTTACCAAGTCTTAGAAGCAACTCCAAACTGGGTGGGCTACCCTTTTTCATTTTTTAATGACATGCTGTGGACATCATGTTCTTATAATGGACTGATGGATTTCATCAATCGACTTGCTTTGCTCTGAAGTACAGCTGTCACCGCCACTGTCATACAAAGTCAAGTATATAAGACTTAATATGACAATGTATACTTTGTCTTTTGTTCTCATACCTCTTTCACGTAAAGGCATTAGAAATTGTATCTCACGTCTAGTAAGCCTATGGTGGCAGCAAAAACAAAGGGCGTACCCAGTGCAGAGAGCTCCCGCTCTGTGCGGTGTGTCTGGGGAAGGGTGTCATTGGCAAGCCTTACCCTCGCCTGTGCAATGCGAGGAGACCACGACTCGAACCCGGGACCTTCCGGTCACAGGCGGTAAGACTCTACCGCTTGTACCTGGCCCTCCATTCTGGCAGCAAAAACAAAACAAAAAAAAACTTTGGGAAACCATCAGTGCCTTTTTGTTCTCCTTATTTGTTGTTTTCTAATTGCAGGTGAATTGATCGGTGGAAGTTGTGCATTGACTATTTTTTTTTTATCTCAGATCAAAGTGATAAATTGACCTGGGAGACTGAGAATTGTGAGAGAAGTAATGTCTTTCGTTAGGCAAGCAGACCCATCAACATCCTGTGCGGAGACCACTTACATCCACAAATATGTGCCACCAGGATCAGTTTTCCCAGCGCAAAGATTTGTCTCTGGCACCGACTTGCTTCACCACGAACCTCAACCATATAATGCTGAGGGCTACAAACAGTCTGGCTTCAATGGGACAGCGCCTCATGCATTTCAGAACTTCTACAGTACTGATAGCTATGCTGATTCTCACTTTAATGAAGCAACATATTCTCCAGCAATGTCCAATATATCTCAGCAGAACTCTCAATCTTTATCAAACAATCAGACCTCTGATCTTGAAGTAGAGTTTGATGAGGATGAGATGAGACTAAAGCTTCAGGAGCTTGAGCATGCTTTACTCGATGATGGCGATGAGATCTTTTCTGACTTTTCAGGGAGCATTATCGATGAGTGGAATGATAGCATTAAGAAAAACAATGAATGGACCAATACCATGAAGGATATTGTGAGTACGGACTCTCCAAAAGAGTCATCCCCTGAGTCAAGCCTCTGTTGTCTCGACAGCAATAATGGAGAAGCGCGGCACCCAAAACAGTTGCTTTTTGACTGCGCAGAAGCAATATCTGAATGTAGCATCGATGAAGCACAATCAATCATAACAGAACTACGGCAGAAGGTAGCAATCCAAGGAGACCCTTCTCAGAGAATTGCGGCCTATCTTGTGGAGGGCCTTGCTGCCGCAATACAGTCTTCAGGAAAGGGGATCTACAGGGCCCTGAGGTGCAAGGAGGCCCCTACTCTGTACCAGCTTTCAGCTATGCAGATCCTCTTTGAAATCTGCCCATGCTTCAGGCTAGGCTTCATGGCTGCTAACTATGCTATTCTCGAAGCCTGCAAAGGCGAAGAGGTTGTGCACATCATTGACTTTGACATCAACCAGGGTAGCCAGTACATAACTCTTATCCAGTTCCTAAGGAATAACAGTAACAAGCCACGCCTTTTGAGGATAACTGGTGTTGATGATCCAGAGTCAGTGCACAGAGCTGTTGGAGGACTGAAGGTTGTCGGGCAGCGACTAGAGAAGCTTGCAGAGGACTGTGAGGTACCATTTGAGTTCAGGGCAGTGGCTGCTAACATTGAGGATGTGACACCTGGAATGCTAGATTGCCGTCCTGGAGAGGCCCTCATTGTTAACTTTGCATTCCTGCTGCACCACCTGCCTGATGAAAGCGTCTCAATTGTGAACCAAAGGGATCAACTTCTCCGTATGGTGAAGGGTCTCCAACCAAAACTAGTGACGTTGGTGGAGCAGGACGCAAATACTAACACCACCCCATTCCTTGCCAGGTTGGTTCTCTCGTGAACATTTTTACTGCATCTGGTACACTGAGTTGTCTAAACCAATGATATACATGCTGTTTAATTACCCATTTCAGCAACATGGGTGCTTCAAAATGCTGGCCTTGTGAAAGGAATATAGTTTTTGAACCTTTGTGCCTGCCTTACACTATCATCCTGTTATATCTCTGTCATTCCTCATGTAGCCCTTTGATATGCAGGTTCCGTGAGGTCTATGACTACTATTCGGCACTTTTTGATTCACTGGATGCGACCCTTCCGAGGGAAAGCCCAGATAGAATGAATGTGGAGCGCCAGTGCCTTGCACGAGAAATTGTCAACATCTTAGCATGTGAAGGTCCTGACCGTGTGGAAAGGTATTTCTTAACAGCACTCCTCCATGAGCCCTGGTCTCATGCACGTTGCAAACTCCAATGTTCATACACCACCTCAAAAAAACTTTGCTGTTACCCTGCAGGTATGAAGTGGCTGGGAAATGGAGAGCTAGGATGGCAATGGCTGGCTTTGTGCCGTCCCCATTTAGCAGCAGCGTGATTGATGGCATAAGATCTCTACTGAAAGCGTACTGTGATAAGTACAGGTTCGAGAAGGTCCACGATGGCCTCCATTTTGGCTGGGGCGACAAGACGCTCGTCTTCTCGTCGGCGTGGCAATAGAAGCTTGTATTGCATAATGCATATCTTAGCACTGCCAGCGTTTTAGGAGCATCTGGTGCAGGGGCTGTAAAGAGATTTCTTTCACCGTATTGTTGACCTATCATATATACTCGTGCGTACCTAACCTTAGCGTGCTTCATGTAGGCTTATGAGGTCTACCTAGTTTCTTAGATGGAGTATGTTGTGTATTGGACACCTACGTGTATTGTCACCGTGGTGTATTTGATTTGACCCTTCTTTTGGAGGGGTGGAATCGCAACATGTCGACATTGTTTCGTGGACAAAGTACTGGATGATGATGCTCTTAGCAGATAGATGGGATAATAAAATAACAAAGATTCGTCAATCCGGGGTGCCATGGCTATATATTGAAGGAGGATTATTCAGGAGATGAGAACCGGAATGCTTGTATGATTCTGTGGGTCTACATTTTGATATGTGAAGTCGTGAATGATGCGGTTGGCACATCCCTCTCTATGTGCATACGTAGCTTAAAAATAGTCTAGTTCATCCACTTGGGATTTTCGATCTTGCAAACGAGAGAAGCTTCCACGATACGACCTGCAGCTGCAGGTTTCTCCGGCTGCTCTGTATCTTTTGATCACTCATCAAACACAAATTTTTTTATACGAGCTTTGTATATTGTACTATAGGACGCAACAATGTCTTCCAGGAAATCTTATAAAGCCACGCTAAATGGAAGGCCCATGAGACTTGCCAGGTGCCAAGAATAGCACAGCGGTGTCCCAGTCCCACTTCCGAGCATGGGATGGTACATTGAGCGCAAAATTGTCACTGGAATAAGGGAGATAATGGTAGTGGTAGGTTCCGGTAGCGTTTCGGTAGATTTCTCGGTCGCCGGCCACAGCTCGGCGCCGCCGTCGCCACAGCCTCTGGCTGGGTTCAGCTTACAGAGTTCAAAAATTAGGCCCTGTTTGGTTGGCCTTGTGGCTTTGTCTTTTGGTCCCAAAAGCCAAAAGCTCAATCAAAAGGCTGGGTTTTTAGAGCTTACAGCTTTTCAAAACTTAGTTCTCTCGCCTCTCGTCTTAAAAAGCTCTTTTAATTGTTTCAAGATAAAGGGTATATTTTATACTTGCCCAAATTTTTCTATAGTTCTTAGCTGGGCTGACTTTCTTACTTTCATTCAGGCCCTGAGTACTTCTTGTTGGGCCGAGCAACGCGCCGCGCCCGCTCTGGCCTTACTGCGCCAGCTTCATCAGGTTCGACCCCTCCATCAGAGTCTTCAGTCTTCTGTGTCGCAGGTGTAGTAGCAGAGTCGGTGACATCCTCCCCTCCTTGAGACACGGCTTCACCCCAAGCCGGTGCACGGGGAAACTCCTGTCGAAGGGCGTCTTCATCCTCCCAAGTAGATAGTTGAGCAGGGAGGTTGGACCAGCGCACAAGCACCTTGGGTGTGGTGTGAATCGGATACTGATGCAGTCTGCGATCCAAGATCTATAGAGGAACCTGAAGTTGAGCGTCAGGATCAGGTAGAGCAGAAGTTACCTGGTACTGGGGTGGCACCGCAGCTTTTAACTGAGATACATGGAATACAGGATGTATGTCATTGCTGCTAGGAAGATCCAATCGGTATGCTGCAGAACCGATTTTGTCAGTGACAGTGTATGGCCCAAAATACCGAAAGGCAAGTTTGTTGGAAGATCTGTTCGCCAGTGACGTTTGAACGTATGGCTGGAGCTTCACATACACAGAATCACCCACTGAGAATTCTCTAAATGATCTCTTCTTGTCAGCATGAAGTTTCATCTTGTTTTGTGCACGCTGAAGATGCTGATGTACAAGTTGCTGAAATAAATCTTTCTCGGACAACCATTGTTGTAAATCCATATTCTGACAGGAATCAGCAATATCAATACCCATTTGAACTGGATCATGACCATACAAGACTTTGAATGGTGTCTGACCCAAGGAAGAGTGATAGGAGGTGTTATACCAAAACTCTGCTAGAGACAGCCAAGAAGACCATTTCTTTGGACAGCTATAAACGAAGCACCTTAGATATGTTTCCAGGCATTGGTTAATTCGCTCAGTTTGGCCATCAGTTTGGGGGTGGTAGGCACTACTCATCAACAAATCCACTTTAAGTAACTTGAAGAGTTCCTTCCAGACTTGGCTAGTAAAGATTCTATCTCTATCGGAAATGAGTGCTTTAGGTAGCCCATGGAGTTTATATATATGTGTCATGTAAACTAAAGCTATTTGGAAGGCAGTGTAAGGGTGAGACAAAGGAACAAAGTGTGCATATTTAGAGAACTTGTCCACCACTACCAAAATACTATCATACTTTGTGGATTTAGGTAGGCCTTCAATAAAATCTAAGGAAACAGTTTGCCAAGCACCAGTAGATATTGGTAAAGGAGCCAACAAACCAGGATAAGCAGACCTGTCATACTTAGCTTGCTTACAGATGGTGTACTGAGAAACGAAGGAGTGGACAGACTGCTTGAGATGGGGCCAGGCAAAGAGCTGCTTGACTCTGTGGTAGGTAACTTCAGCTCCTGAATGACCTCCAGCTGGGTCTGAATGAAGGACCTGTAGCACCTTCTGTTGAATTTCATTAGAGGTACCCACCCAAATTCTGGACTTATAATAGATAATCCCATCCTTGAGACTGTAATGACCAGAAGGGGATATGACAGTGAGTTCTTGTAAAAGTTGACTAGATTTGGGGTCATTGGAATAAGCAGTTTGAAGATCAAGCAACCATGTTGGTTGAACAACAGAAACAACAGCCAACTCCTGTATATCAGCATGGGCTGTTCTGGACAGGGCATCAACCACCTTGTTTTCCTTCCCTTTTTTATAAACAATCTGATAGTTAAGCCCCACTAATTTGGTGAGTGCCTTATGCTGCCATGGGGTATGCAACCTCTGATCATCTAAATGGATTAAACTCTTCTGATCAGTTTTGATGGTGAATTCAGATTACAGCAGGTAAGGCCTCCAATAATCTACAGCAAGGAGAATGGCCATGAACTCCTTTTCATAGGTTGACAGACCCTGTGCTTTAGGTCCAAAAGCTCTACTCACATATGCAATTGGGTGTCCATCCTGCTGCAGGATAGCCCCAATACCATTGTCAGAAACATCAGCCTACAGGGTGAAAGGTTTAGAGAAATTGGGCAAGCCCAATACCTGGCTTGTGATCAGAGCATTCTTCAAGGCTTCAAATGACTCTTGATGGGAGGTGGTCCAAACATATTGCTCTCCTTTCTTCAGCAAATTTGTAAGTGGCTTAAACAACCATCCAAAGTGCCTTACAAACTTCCTGTAATAGCCTGCCATGCCCAGAAAGCTCCTCAGCTCTTTCACAGAAGTTGGAGGTGGCCAATCAGCTCTTCTCATTCTTGTCATTCTTGTCTTTCTTCTTGCTCTTCTTGTCATCATCATCATTGTCGCTATTGTATGGGCATTGAGCAACAAGATGATCCTTGCTTCTACACTTGAAGCATCTTCTTGACTCTTCCTTGTTCTTGAATGAAGACTTCTTCCTTCTAGCACGGTAGCCCTTTTTCACCATGAACTTGCCAAATCTCTTGACAAAGAGAGCCATCTTCTCCTCCTCCTCATCATCATCCCATGAGCCATCATCTTCACTTGATGTATCTTGCCTGGCCTTGCCTTTAGATGATGAACCGGCTTTGAATGCCACACTCTTCTTCTTCTCATCCTTCTTCTCTTTGTTCTTTTCTTCCTTCTCATCATCATCTCTATAAGCATCATCGGTCATGATATCTCCCAAGATTTGGTTTGGTGTCATTGTGTCCAAACCGGTTCTCACTAGCAAGGTGATCAACATGCCAAATCTTGCTGGTAAGCTCTCAAGAACTTATGGGAGAAGTCCTTGTCTTCCACCTTCTCACCAAGTGCTTTGAGATCATTGACAAGCACTTTCATGCGATGAAACATGTCCGGCACACTCTCATCTTTCTTCATCTTGAAGCTAGCAAAATTTCTCCTTGAGAATGTATGCCTTTGCACCCTTTATTGCCTTGGTGCCCTCAAATGATTCTTCCAACTTCTTTCAAGCTTCATGATCCATCTCGATGTTCTTGATTTGTTCAAATGTTCTCTCATCAATAGCATCATGAATAGCACTAAGAGCAATGTCATTGTTTTGGAGAAGCACTTCTTCGGCCGCGGTGAGATTCTTCGGATCGGCTATCTCAATTTTGGTTTCACCACCTTCCATACTCTTCTATTGATTGACTTGATATGAGTGGTCATCTTTGATTTCAATAAAGATAATTTGAACCATCAAATTAGGGTGGCTTCTTGGTGTTGTTGATTTGAGCCATTTTAACATCAAAGTTTGTTAAGCCTCAAATCACGGTGACCACGGCTCTAATATCACTTGAAAGGTCCTAATGGCTAGAGGGGGGGTGAATAGCCTATTAAAAATTCTACAACAACACTAAGACGAGTGATTAGTAAATAAGATGGCGAAACAAATTTTGTGCTAGCACTACACTTGTGTTGCAAGCCACCTACCCAATTCTAAAAACTATGATCCCTTCAACTGCATTGACTTGTACCATAAAAAGAACTGAATCTATTTTCTACATAGCTTGAAGTTGAGTTACATATATAGGAGGTCCCCAACTGGTTGTAGGTAGTATTCCTTGAAGCTAGACATCCTTTCCTTCCAAACTGAACTGCAACCACCTTTTAGCCCAATGTACATGCATAGGACTATATTGAGAAAGCCAATCCATTCCCAATATTATGTCATAACAGCCAAGAGGGATGATTTTGAATGAGTTCTAAAAGGTGTGACCCTGTAGCCCCCAAATAACATTAGGTATTTCATGAGCACATGAAATTTCACTGCCATTAGCCACTCTGACTTTAGCTTGTTGATCAAGTGAAAGGTTTTAATGGCTAGAGGGGGGTGAATAGCCTATTAAAAATTCTACAACAACACTAAGACAAGTGATTAGTAAATAAGATGGCAAAGTGAATTTTGCGCTAGCACTACA